CTACTCAGGTTCCCATTTTTTGGATAAGCTGTCTTTGTTCTCTGTTTCTGTCAAGGTGATATCTTGAGAATTACAACAGAGTCTCACTTTGAAGACTGAGTTAGTAAAATGTATACACATTCATGATAGAATGTTATTTTGTTATGAGAATAATAAAATCTATACTCATTTATGGTTGCATGTCTAGGTCAACGGTCAATGTAGATTGTCCAGGTGTGTCTCCTTTCTGTAATATAACCCCCCTCTTCACTTTGTCTTATGTATTTAATTGGAGGAGGATAGAAGTGAATTGGGGCCCTGGCAACAAGGAAGGAGGGCTGTTTATAAGTTCTCCGTGCTTTCCAGAATTGCTCTTTCTAGGACAGCTTGAAGTTGTTGGAGTAAGGATTTGTCAGAAACCTCTCTTAGGCCCTTAATATTCCACACCTATTCCTCCTTTTCCATTACATTGAATTAAAACCTTTAAACTTACAAATTTGTGCCTCAGCATTTATTTCCATTACAACTGAAGCAAGGATCCATGTTATTCAGTGACACATTTTTGTTGTTTTGGTTCTAGGAATTGAAATGAAGGCCCCTTAAGCTTGCTAGGTAAGCACTTTTGCTGCTGATATATCTCCTTCCCGTGAAACTATTTTGAGTACTGAAATGTTTTGGCCTTTGAGGACACATTCTTGCACCATGCCGAGTGTTGCTTCACTAGAAGGAGGACATATGAGGTGAGGCTGTGGCCTTCCAGCTGTCCTTTGAGGAAAGTTTCTGAAGTCCTTGGGTTAACTTCTCCCCTCCTGGCCACTTTGATGAGTGGGCCTAAAGCACTTAAGAAGCCTGGGAAGTAGACACCCTTGCTGTTTTGCTTAGGGTGAAGGAGCTGTCTCTTCTTGTTACGGCATGGTCAACAGTGGGCTCTGATTTCTCCCTGGACTGACCCAGAACCCTGGATGTTATGCAGGCTGGTGGCTTTGGTTTGGGTGAGACTGGATTCTATGATGATACATTGTCTCTAGCAGGAGCCAACTGAGCCTCAGAGCTCATGTAGGATGAGGGAGAATGCATGGTGAATGGTGTTTTTCTAGGTGTCATAATCAATCACCACGTGTTTGGGCTGGCCTTTGACCCCATCTGCAGAACTCCTTACATGTAAGCCTAGAACCAGTGTACTGAGCAGAATGAGACTCTGGAGATCATGGCTGGGGCTCATGGTAGCATTGTCCTTGAGGGAACTGGAAGCAACCCTATAGCGAAAGGGAAAGGTGGTTGAAATCTGGGAGACTTGTTTCAGCAGTAAAATAGTTCAGGTGAAAAGTGGTAAGGGAAGAGAATGAAAATGCACATAAAGTAGCTGATGGGCCATGTGTCAAAAACAAGAGTGCATGTGTGGGAGGATAGAGGTAGGGATGACTTAAACAACTTTTAAAAGATTAATGTCATTTCAGAATCCATTCACTGTATTTAGCAAATGTTCTTGAGCCTGTAGCTATAGTGGCAATGGATGCAACCATGCACCCATGCAGGTGTGTGTTTCACCACACCAAATAAATAATAATGTTTTGTTTTGCACATGATTCTGGGTGTAGAGATTCTAGGAGCTAAACTGTAGATTAATTCATTGTGGAAATGGAATCTTTAAAGAATACATATAATTCTGCTCTACTAAGAGTCTTTCAGTCAAGACTACATGTGATTTTGATTGCATGGAATAGCTAATAAATAAATAACTTTTTTCTTGTATTTATAGCCAATTTTAACAACCAAGAATGCATACTCTTTTCACTGTGTTCTCTGGGTATGAATGAACATGACTTCCATGTTCCTGTCTCCATCTGCATGGGATAGAAATAACTTTCTAGAGGGAGGAGGAAGTTAAAGTGGTTTTATGCTATAGGCAGAGATCAGAGTCTACAGGTCAGCAGGAGTCTCATTTACTCCTACTGAACATCCTCAGAGATGCTTTCATCACTACTGACCATCTAGCTGTGAAAGGCAAGGGAGCACATCTGGATACTTGTGAGGCATCCTGTGCATGGACGTATGGTTCTCACATTGGCATCTTCTAACTTTCGAGCTAGTGATCAACTCATGTGGAAACTTTGGTAGGTGAAGAAATGAAGGCCCACAGAAAAGTCATGCAGGCCATGACTGCATGACACATAAGCAGTCCTCACCTCTTGAGATGTCAGAGGTCTCCTGACTGTCTTCCATCCTCTTCCCAGAGAGCCATGATCAGAGGAAGATGAATCTCCTTGAGTGCTTCATAAAGTTTGTTTTTGCAAGTGGAGTTCCAGGATGGGCTGAAGCTGAACAGCTTTCGCATCTTGTTTGGATTGGTGGCCTCAGCCCGCACGCTGGCATATTGCTCTTCACCCAAGAGCTCTCCACTCAGCAGCTTGTCTAAGACAGAATCTACAGAAGTCACCCGGGCCACTAGTTGCTCCCGATGTCTGTCCACAAAGTGATGCAAGGCTGGGGCCTTTGAAGGTGAAGCTGAGGTTGGAATGAGCAAAGAAAGATTTGCACCATGGGTCTTGCCTCTGTCTCATTACATCTCTATTTTTTCAAACACCTCATCTGCATCTTTAACTTCCTCTTCCCTCTAGAAAGTTATTTAACCACCAGAAAGCACCAATGATATTACTCATGACAACATGTAGTCTGATGCTGGAGATCAGATGTCTATGATGGGGCCTTGCTGAAGTGTATGGGGTGCTAGAGTTCCCATGGGCAGGGGTAAGGGCCATGAGCAGGAATTTTACCACTGAGCATGTACTCCTGCAGCCAAGCCTCTGGTGAGGTTTACAGTGAGAGTGCCTCCTGTCTCTTTCCTTCTTTCTAGGACCAGACCAATGTCCCAGGAATGCCACTGTCACCTGGTCTCTGATAACTGTTACTGACCTATGGCAGATGGTGGGAACAGAGAGGCTGCTGTTCTCAGGTCTCCTGGAGGAAAAGAGAGATGAAGACCCTTCAGTAAGAGTGCTAGTTATGAGGATAGCTGACATGCCTTGAAACTCCCACCCACTTCTGATTTTCTTGGTTCTAAGGGCAGGTGACAAATTTTGAGACTGCAGTTAGGACTGGAAGCCATTTAGGATTTATCTAGGCAAATGACTTCTTATGGAGAGGGAAACAGATGCATAGATCATATGATGATAAACTAGAAATGGGGTGCAAGCATGCAAGAAAGTCATAATAATTTCTCAGACAACTACTGAAATTCACATTTTTTTCTCCCTTATTCTGAACTAAAACATGGTGGAAAGCTTAAAAAAAAATCCCTCCTGAGATAATTCAAATTATTACATATTTTATTCTGAGCAGACCTGACTTCTTTGTCATTTTTTGTTTTTCTGTACTCACATGCCAAATACACAATTCTACATTTGGATGCCAGAATCAAGATCAAGATCTTAGCATGTGGAAATGATGAAGGAATTTTAACAAGAACATCAATGGTAGCAACAATGAGGATAACAACAAATATAGGGGTTAAATAATTGCTTACATAGGAGAGGAAGACTCAGAGCTTATGTCAACAAGGATGGAGAATGCAAGAAGACTTTTTATTTACTGTGACTAAGCCATAGTACCCCAAAAGGGCTCAAGCACTCAAAGGATATTATGGCCATCACTGGATACATTTGGATATAGTGAGGAGGTGTTCATTATGGATCATTTTTTAAATTTTCCCATGCTGCCC